TCCTAGAGTTTGGAAGGCTGAGGCAGGACAATTGATACAGGTTTAAGAACAGCCTAGACTACGTAGGGAGACAGTATCTCAAAGAGAGAGAGAGAGAGAGAGAGAGAGAGAGAGAGAGAGAGAGAGAGAGAGAAACAACAGTGTCAGACACCACAAACCATGCCCACTCGGATGTCCACACTTCTGCAATGGTCCTGCCCTCCCTTCTCAGCAGGGCCCCAAGGGTCTGGCCAGTTGGGAACCTGCTGGGCTACAGATACAAGGAAGGGGCCTTGGCAAAGCCACCACAGCCCTGCTCCCGGGGGAACCATGTGTGAAGCTGGGCTGCAATCAGGCCGTGTTCTCCTGGGCCCAGGTGGTGCAGGTGCATTCAAGGAAAGCCAGCCGGGACAAAGGCCGCTGGGTCTGTGTGACCTTTGGAAAGCCCTCTGAATTGCCACACTAAGCAGCTGAAAGCAGGGATTGCCCAGGACAGAGAGGCTCTGTGGGCAGCACGCCTGGCACTGGCGTCTCCTCTGCCTTTTTCTCTCCAGGCGACCAGTCCTGCCGGAAGTGAGAGCAGCTGCCTTCCTGGGTGTCACTGTCACACTGCTCAAGGACCTGCCAGAAGCTGCAGGTGACAGATGTGAAGAGACAGTTGCTTATGAGACAGTGCGGGGCCCTCCAGCCACCCAGGGGCAAGCTGTTGGCCCCACCCTGGGAGGTGCTTGCAGGGGGCACCCCATCAAGGAGAAAGGCAGGACAGCAGGCTGTGGGCTCCTGGTCCTCCGCCTTCCCAGGTACCCAGCTGAGCAGACAGCCTCTTCCAAGGCAGACGAGAGTGGCCTCATGGGAGCCAGGTGTCCTCATAGCCCTTCCAGCTCCACAGTGTAACCCGCCAGGCAGCCACAGGCCCCCCGCTGCTGGGGACGGGGACACAGAGGCAGGGAGCCTTATTCCAGCCACACACCTCTGAGCCACACTGTATTTTCCTGCTGAAAATGGTGTGTTCCTGTGTGCTCACAGCAACCCTGTACCCTGCACATTTTTAAAGGCTTTAGGAAAGTTTCCCAGTTTAATTAATGCTGTTTTCCACACCTCATTAAGACCACAAACAAGGGCCGGCAAGCTAGCTCAGTGGACTAAAGCACCTGCTTCAGCAAGCTCAGGGACTACAGTTCGATCCTCAGCACCCCAAGCTGCAGCAGCCTCGCCCCCAGAATGGGCTGAGCTGGCCAGAGTCCTGGCATGATAACACATGCCTGTAATCCCAGCCCTGGGGCAGCTGAAAGCAGGAGGATCATCACAAATCCAAGCTGCATAGTGAGACCTTGTAAACACCTGTGATCCTAGCACTCTGAGAGGCTGAGGCAGGAAGATCGAAAGTTCAAGTCCAGTCTGGACAACTTGGTCGCTTAACAAGAACCTGTCTCAAAATTAAAAAACAAACAACAAAAATAGGTAATGTGTTGGGACCAGACATGGTGGCACAGGTCTGTAATCCCAGCACTCAGGAAGCTTAGGCAGGAAGACTGCTGCCAAGGTGGGCCACATAGGGATTTCAAGTCCAACTTAAACTACATAACAAGATCCTGTCTCCCAAAAAAAGACAAAAATAAAAATAAAGGGTTGAGGTTGTAGCTTGGTGCGAAGGCCCTGGATTCATTTCCCTGATCTGCAAAAATAATAACCACAGACACAAGCATTCCTTCAGCAAACTAACCCATCCCTGTCACTCCTTGGTGAGAGACAGCAACCCCAGGTCTAGAGACAGGGAAAAACTCCAGCTTCAGAGCCATCAGGACCCAGGTGTCCCACATGTGACCCAGGCTGTAGTCAGCATTTAAGGGGCTGTGTGTGTGTGTCCGTGTGCGTGCGCGTGCGTGTGCGTGTGCGTGTGTGTGTGTGTGTGTGTGTGTGTGTGTAAGGGGTGAACAGCAAACCAAGGTCAGATGCCACTTTGGCACCATAAGCCAGGTATGCAGGATGTCGTGACCCAGGGCTCCTGACACTGGCACCATAGAACCCTGTGGTGTGGCCAGCTCTCTGACACATGTTCCACCCAGTTCTCGAGAAGAAGCTGCGAGCCGTGTGCTCAGCACCCCCGAGCCTGGGTGTAGCCTGTAAGTGCCTGCAGTGTAGACACAAGTGGATGCTCTGTCCTGCATGACAGAGCAGCCAGAGGGAAGCGGGTGCCCTGGAGTGGATCGGCCCAAGGCCAGCAGGGAGAGGTTGCAGTATGCTGCCCCGGTCCCCACCCCCAGCCATCACTCCCCTGGATTCCTCCAGCTCCGAGACCTGGCACGGCCTTTCCCTGCCTGCCACGGGGCAGCAGGGACCAGGGTTGGGCGCGTCTCTGCTCTATCTGGGATCTTCTGGCAAGAAGGCTGTGATGGACGCAGGGCTGACTGGTAAATGCAGGTTAGGGAAAAGAAAAGTCAGTGTTTTTTCAGGGAGGGGTATCCAGCTTGGGGTCAGAGCAGACCTGATCCCTGGGGAGGCCTGGGTGATCCTTTAGGGAAAGTACCACCACCCAGGCCTCCCTCCCCACACTCTGGGGAGGTCTGTCAGGCTCACCTTGCAAGGCCGAAGCAATCTAGCCAGGTGTGATGATGCACACCTGTAATCCCAGCCTGTGGGAGGCTGAGGCAGGAAAATCTCCATGAATTTGGTCCTTTTTGTTTGTTGTCTTGGCAGAACTGGGGATTGAACTCAGGCCCTTGCACTTGCCAGGGAAGCGCTTATTGTACTGAGTCATCTCCCCAGCCCCATCGTCATGAATTTGAAGCCAACCTGTACTACATAGTGAGTTCAAGCCCTACATGAACTCCACAGTGACAGCCAGTCTCAGAAAAACAAAAATGGTCCACCTAATCCTAATCTTTTTTTTCCAGACAGGGTCTCACTATGTAGTCCAAGTTGGCCTCAAATTTATGGCAATCCTCCTGCCTCAGGCTGCCAAGTACTGGGATTGTAGGCATGTGCCACCACACTAACCTAATCCAAATTTTGGCCCTCATTCCAATAAAAATAGACAGCTATTTTTATTTCAAAAATAGACATCTGAAAGGGACCAAGGAGATGGCTCAGTGGCATAAGCACCTGCCAGGCAAGCACAAGGTCCCAAGTTCAATCCCTGGTTCTGCCAATGAATAAATAAATAAATAAATAAATAAATAAATAAATAAATAGATAAAAATAGGCAGCTGGTACATGGGCCAGTTTGCTGATTTTATTTTTTTAAATACTGTATTAAACCATTATTTACCTTGATTACTGAGTCTTGGGGTGTCCTCTTGAATTCATGCACCTCTTTTTTTTTTTTTGGTGGAACCTGGGATTTAACTCAGGCCTTTGTGCTTGCCAGGAAGCACTTATTCCACTGAGCCATCTCTCTGGCCCCCTCAAGCACCTCTTAAGCCCTGCACTGGAACATGGGGCACTTCCTGGGTGCTCCCGTGCCCCCCAGAGCACAGCCTGGTGACTGGGTGGCAGCGGGGGGGGGCAGGTGACTCAATGTACTGGTGGCTATTGCCTGGGCTCTGCTCTCCAGGGAGGCCTTGTCCTGCAGCAGCTTGGGTTTGCTCAGAAGTTCCCCCAGGTCCCCACCACATGAAGACCAGGACCAAGGCTGTTCAAGTCTTCAAGTCTCCACCCATGTCACAGGGCCAAGGCCCAAGTCTGCACAGATGGCCACAATCCAGGTCAGAGCACCGGCCCCTGAGGAAGGACAGATGGACAGATTTCCAGGAGAATCTTGCAGTGTTAGGAAGAGCCAGGCCTGCCTGGAAAGATCCAGCTGGTCATTATGTGCAGGATCAGAGCCTGGATGTGCAGGGAGAGCCCCTAGAGCAGGGTCTTGAGAAATGCCAGCCCAGGACAGATCTGGGGCGTGAGAGGCAGGGCAGCAGTCTCCAAGAGGTAGAGGGGACGGGGAGCTGTGTCTGAGGGGATAGCCACCCGCAGTTGCCTACAGGAGCCAATTCCCTAGAGCCTTGGCCAGTGCCACCTGGCAGAGAGCAGTCCAAGGGCAGGAGCTAGAGGGTGAGGCTCTGAGATCAGAAGTGGTAGAGAAGGAAGAGCCTGCAGCTAGTGCCTGAGCTCTGGAGAGTAAGCTGCAGCCTTCCAGGCCCCACCATGCCCCTGAGGAGTGTAGAAAACAAGGGGGCCACCAGAGACCCCTCTGTCAGCTGGGCAGGAGGCAGCAGTGTGCTGATGCCGGCTCCTAAGAGCCAATCACCATGCCAAACGTGCTATCATCCTAGCTTTCAGGAGGCTGACGCAGGAGGATCATCTTGAGTTCAAAGGCCAGTCTGAACTGTGGAGCGAGGCCCTGTCTTAAAAAGAAACAGGTCTGGTGAGATGGCTCAGTGGTCTAAAGCACCTATTTAGAACAAATTTAGCAAAGCATAGGGACTGCGGTTCAATCCCCCAGCACC